CCCTCACCCGCGACCCTGCCGCCCTCTGCAGGTCCGGGCTGCCCTGCGGCAGGGGTCAGAGTCAAGACGGGGCAGCTGCGAGCTGGAGCGTCTTATGGGAGCTACTGCTGTCTCCCCTGTTGCAGACCCCGCCGCCCAACTCGGACTCCTAGGCCCCTACCCGGGCCCTGCAGAACTCCCAGCCCATCCAGACTCGGAGGCCCTGCACCTGGCTTGAGTTGCCTCCCCTGAAGATGGGTAGAGACAGCCCTTCCCTCTGGCATAGAGGCTGACACACCTTAATGCCTGCAGAATACTTAACACTTAGAGGGAGGTCAGCCCCCTGCAAGGAAATTTTGAAAGTTAAAAAAATTTTTGAAAGTCCAGTAAAGGGTTGTCTAATCATTACAAATAGACTGGGATTTGGATCTTATTCCTCCCAAGGCCTGTGTCCTGACGGCCCATTCACTGTCACTGGCAAAAGAGGAAGTTCTCCCCCAGTATCAGGGAGGCCATGTAGTCCTGGAGGAAAAGCATCTGAACATTTAACTCTGCTTTTGAGACTTCAATGCATTTTTGGCTTTTAGAACCCACTCTTTCCACAATCTCATTATTTTTAATTAAAGCTTTATGATTATATGTAGTGTTTGGGTCCATCCTGACCAACTCAGACATGCATGCAAATAGATTTCAATTCATGATTACCACGTTTCCCCTCCTGGCCTCCCTCCCCTCTCCCATTCTCCTTCCTCTACTAGACTTGCCAGTCTATGTATTTGTAATTGATTAGTTGTTATTTTTACTGTAAGTTTCAGATTGGTATGTTTTACTGTGGCTGGTATAGTGAATTCTTAAAACAACATCAAATTAAATAGGCATTGGCATGTACCAACTTGCAATTTTTACCAACCTTAGGAGGTAGACACTTGTTGTTATCTGTTTTACACATAATAAAACATCTGCTTGGCAACTCTTTTGAATTTATCATTCGGATTCTTAAAGATTCTGTGATATGAGGCACATTTTAAAAAATGCAAGAACAGTAAGAAATGGATGAATTTGAGAATTCTTGGTGATAAGATGTCCCTAGGATGTCTGACTAGGAATGATTCTGACAGGACTTACTGTACTGAATTTGTTAGAGCTCCTTGTTCAGGGAAATGACAGGTGTACCTTACCTTTTTTTTTTTTCAGGAGGGTGGGTACCAGGGATTGAACTCAGGGGCACCTGACCACTGAACCTTAATAGGGCTGGGGAGCCCTATTTTGTATTTTATTTAGAGACAGGGTCTTGTGGAGTTGCTTAGCACCTTGCTTTTGCTGAGGCTGGCTTTGAACTCTGGATCCTCTTGCCTTAGTCTCCTGAGCTGCTGGGATTACAGGCATGCACCACCATGCTGGTCATAGCTTACTTTTTATATAAGTAAATGTGCTTTTGCAGATTCTCCTAAGTTCTGCTTGGTATGCTCATTGTCCCTCAGTTTCTTGTGGCTGGATGCTCTGGTGCTTGTTAGGAGTTGACAGGTAACTAAATCACTTCATTCCCTCACAGAACTTTGTAACTTGTGTGGCAACACAAGAACTTCAGTGAAAGAAGTATTCCTTATGTAAAGTTTCTTATCTGTTGAACCTGTTAATACCAATGCTTTGAAATAGGTCAGGGATGTATGGGCTAACAGAAGGGCATGAGACTGTAACACAGGGCTGGGGATATAGATCAGTTGGTCACCTTACATGCAGAAGGCCCTGGGTTCGATCCTTAGCACCAAAAAAAAAAAAAAAAAAAAAAAAAGACTCTAACACAGAGATGAACTGAGAAGCCTGAGAAAGGTGGCCAGCAGGCATTCAGGGAGAGGTGGAGAGCAGCAGCCTTGGTCCTCTCCCCTTTCCTAGACTGGCCCCACACCTTTCTTTGGGCCAAAATAGGTCAGCGCTTCCTTGGGCATAGCCAAGCTTGGCCCTGCTCCTGCACTTCACTGTTGGCCCCTATAGTGTGTTGTGGTCATTGTTGACAGTGGGCCTCCCTGTTGGACTTGGAGATGCCTAGTTATGGACTGTGATTAGGCAGTTTTTTGGCATCTCCCCACAGGGGCTGGCCATTGTTAAGTGTCTCAAAATCTTCACAGAATTATAACATCTCTAAACCTAGGTTTGGTTGCTGTAAAAGGAGGTAAACACCAGCCTTATTGACATTCCAGAGTTTCTGTAAAGATTGACTCAGTGTGGTAAAAGCACATTGAAACTGAAAAGTGTTTTGTTTATAAATTAAAAAGACTTACTGCTAAGGAATCATAGTCCTAAAACAAGTGTGATTTTTATATTTTAATTAAGCAGAGATTATAGGAAGTGGGACTCTTTTTTTTTGGCCTGTGATGTCCCCCTTCCCAGAAGATAAACTTCTGGTTCAGAAGAAAGTTATGTCAAAAAAGAGTCACTTCTCCATAGCACTGACATTTGTCTGAGCGAGACTTTGCCTGGACTCAGTGTTGTTGCTGCTGGGTGGGTAGGAGGGACGTGGACACAGCCAATGCTACCTTGGAAGTGGTGGTAGATGGTGCCTGGACCACCTGGGAAGCCTGGCATAGGAGACTAGTGGGCAGCGTCCCCTCCTTCCTTCATGCCTCACACAGGGCGTGGTCTCAGTATGCTCAGGATCCTCATCTGCAGCAGTGATGGGTGGGACCTTGGGGAATCCAGCTTTGTTCTGATTTCCTCCTGTGGGCTGGGTCTACTGAGTTTCTGTTATGGATCCCAGGAGGGAATACAGCACAGCTATTTCCTTGCTCCTGTGTTTTTGTGTTTTTCTGGCCATTTTGCCATACTTGATTTAGGACCTCCTTCACAAACCAGGAGGATAAAAGGTGGAGCTCCCTGGAACCCACTCTTCTTCCATGAACACACACAGAATTCATACCTGTGGCTTCCGAAGGCATATTAGAATGTTCATGGATGAAAGTGAGGTTGTTAGAAGCACAATTGTGATTTTTAAAAAAGAATTCCCAAGCCTTTGTGCTTTACCTGTTATTCTAAGAAATTGCCTTGGACACACCTGGCAGCTGATTTTGGCAACCAGTGCTATATAGTATCTAGAAGTTAATGCTGCCAAACTGCTTTAAAAACATAGACAATGGTGTAAGGTTTTTTCTTTGTGTTAGTGGCCTTCAGTGAGTTAGAGAGGAAATTCCCACACAATAGGCTACATTTTTTTTATCTGGTTAATAGATCTATTTCATAACTTTGACTTTGGTCTGTTGCATGTTTTCTTGCATTCTAATAATGCAGGGACTCCAGCCTGGATGGAGTCAAATGAAAAGGGGTTGAAAAGCTCAGTTTGTGCATTACCAGGAAGAACTTCTTTCAGATAGTATTTTTCCTTTTCAATTGTCTTTAATTTTTAAAATATGTGATACACTTCTTATTTCCCAAAATGGCAGTATGAAATTGTCTCAGTGTCAACAAGCATTTGTTGTGCTTCTAAATATTTTATGGAATGTAAATGTTCTCATGTCTGAGTTCTGTTCAGTCTGTGTCAGCCCAGCCAGATGCCCTGTTTTGAGTCTTCCCTGGCATTTTTGATGTGAATGCTTTCTTGGCCCTCTCATTGTACTTGTTTTCCCTTTTGGAGTTCTCTCTCTTTCTGTGTTTGCATCTTTATGCACGGACATTGATTCAGTGATTGTAGAGTGCCTCTGGTGCAAGGTCAAGTTCAGCTCCAAAGGTCAGGTTTGGCTCTGTTTTTCTCCATGGAGCATAAGGCCCCATACAGTCTTGTGTCAAAGCAGTGCACACCTGTGGCAGTGAAGGAGGGCACAGAGGAAGTGTAGGATAGAGGGGTCTTCTTTGACCCTGGCCTTTTCCATTGCCACCTCTGGTGTCTGCTTCCTGTGTTCCCTTCCAGGTGTGATCTGCCCATGTTCCCAAACCAGGGATCATAGACCTCAGGGTCCCTGAGATCCTGCCTGGGGCATATGAGGAAAAGCTTCTTTCATAATAATGCTGAAATGGCAGTTCTGTTCCTCCATTGTTAATGTGTGCTGATAGTCTGAAGCCCATGCTAAGGAAAGCTGCTGTGCTTAGCAGGAGTCCAGGCCTGGACTCCAACAGTACTAAGGCATGGTTTTACTCACCACTGCCCTACTCACAGTTAAAAAAAAAAAAAAAAAGTACCACTTTTACATAACCCTATAGTGATAAA